ACCCCCTCTTCTGAGGTGTGGACCAAAGTCAATCTGTAACACACAGACAGTTAAGTTAAGTTCCACTTCTTCTTCCATTCTACTTCTACATCACATCTTCTTCACCACTTCTTTGTCAAGCACTGAACTTCGAGCAAACTTCAGAGAAAAAACTTCCTCCTAGTGAGATATCCTAGGAAGGAAGGGAACGAGAGAAGCAGCCTTTTCTGGAAACCCTGCAGAACCAGAAGCAGAAACTGGCATTAACCTGAGATTTGTTACCAGAGCCATCGCACCGCAGAGTGGAAAAATCCCAGCTCACTCCCATATGGACCCTCGTCGCTCCAAGATGACAGGTGAACTGTGAGGAAGACTCAGCCTCTCAGTCACCAGAACATTTGGACTGGTACCATTTTTAAGCAGCTGTTGGACCATTCTGACCATCTCATTCTGGTAGGACAAGAGACATTTAATGCCTTTCTGGTGATCATACATCACAATAATATTGCTTTATACACACTACAGTTAATTTAGACACAATTTCAACTACTTCACAAACAGAACTAGTCCAAAATCTGCCTTTTTTTTTTAAGTTCCATTGATTTAAATAACCAACTAGACCTTTGATACAAAGCTATTTGTTATTCATTTGTGTATAATCTTCATCAGATATATTACAGATTATTATTTTTGTGAAAAATACATAAAATCAACTACATTTGTGATTATTTTGGCATATCTGTGTGTATTACTGATTTGATGCCTTTTAAACACGAGAAAAGAATTCACGTTTCAGTTTACATTTAATTTTGGGGTTAGAGACTGGTTTGTCCTCTAAAAAACAGAGGTGGTGCCCACAACGAGGCTATTTGCATAATAAATGCATATCTTATGAGTTTAACTCATAACTGATCATTTACAATATATATCCAACCCCATATCCCTCTACAGGTGAAACCGACCAAAAAGAGGATAATGTCTATAATTAAATTGATTTTAAGATGGAAAAAAAAGAATGATTTTTATAGAAAAGTCACTTTAAAATAAAGCTTTTTCTTCCTATTCCTCACTTATAACAAATGTTTTACTTAAAAAATTGCTCTATGATTGCTAATTCAATATTTTGTATTTATTATTTGTTTTTATTCTAAAGGGCCCCATTTATTTATTTATTTATTTTTACAAAATTGATAGTGTTCCTTATTTTTTGGAAAAAGCGTTCATTTTATATACTTCTTGAATAAGTTGATGAAGTATTTTTATAGTGTACCAGAAGCTCAACAGTTAACCGTTTGGGAGCTTTCTGACACACAGCTGCTATCGGCTCCACCTCGATGAACTTAAGCAGCATTCCAGACCCACTTTTCAATTCAGAGGGAGGAATTTTCTGGAATGGAAGAGGAAGACGAAATGTGAAAAAATAGTTAAGACTGCATTATATTTGGCAACGCTGCATGCAGCACTTGTATAAGTGGAATTTAGCTGAATAGAAGAGGGTAACGTATGTCTTGTTCAAACTTCTAATGAGTTTAAATCTTAATTTACACTTAGAGTAGCACATGTTCATCAGCTTATGTGGCAGAAGGGTGGTTGGTTTTCTGGCAAACCAATTTACCATATAAACCTAGACAGCCAACATTCACAATTCAGTCATTTCTGGTCCAAAATCCATTCTTCTTATCCACCCTTTCAATAACTCAGATGCCTTTCTTCCTATATGAGGTCACTTCTCCAATTCAGGTGTTTGGGCATGTGGCTCATCCAGATGTACATTAATCATGTTTAGAGAAAACATTATAGCCATTAGAGAGAGAGAGAGAGGAAAAAAAAAAAAGGTTTTCAGATTTTTACAAACCTGTTATTAGTTTAATTGTCATTTTAGATATCAAGGCTAGCCAATCCAGATATTTCTGAAGTGATTAGGAATATCCCTCTCCAAAACAAAAACAAGGAAAATGTAATAAATAAATTAAAATTTTATACAAATTAGACAAAAAATAGTTAATGCAAAAAAAATTGATGACATGCAATTTTCCATCTGTAATTCTATGTCCATATTCTTTGTGGACTTCATGTCTGCCTTCAACACCATGATTCCCCAGACCCTGATGGACAAACTACTCACACTAAGACTACGTCCCTCTCTATGCAACTGGGTCCTAGACTTCTTAACCAACCGACCACAGTCTGTGAGGATCCACGACTTCTCCTCCAACACCGTAACCCTCAGCACTGGCTCCCCTCAGGGCTGTGTGTTGAGCACTCTCCTGTTCACTCTGCTCACACATGATTGTGCAGCTACCCATCCAGGCTGTCACATTGTAAAGTTTGCAGATGATACAGCGGTGGTTGGATGCATCATAAACAATGATGAGTCCAGCTACAGGCAGGAGATGGAACACCTGGAGATCTGGTGCAAGAAGAACAACCTCCACATCAACGTGAAGAAGACGAAGGAGATGGTCGTGGACTTTAGATGGAATAAATACACCTACCCCCCCTCCACCCCCTAAATATACTGTAGGATGGTGTGCGGTGGAAGTGGTCTCCAGCTACAGTACTTGGGTGTGCACCTGAATGACAACCTCAGCTGGGGCAACAACACCACCAGCCTGATCAAGAAAGCTCATCAGAGACTCTACTTCCTCAGGCGGCTGAGACGAGCTGGTCTGGGAAGCTCAGTCCTCACCTCCTTCTACAGGTGTGCAGTGGAGAGCATCCTGTGCTCCAGCATCAACATGTGGCATGGAGGCTGCACAGCTGCAGAAATAAAAGCTCTGCAGAGAGTGGTGAAGGCTGCACAGAAGATGATGGAGTCAGTCTCCCCACCATCACAGACATTTACACCTCCCGATGCAGGAAGAGAGCCACCTGCATCATGAAGGACCCCACTCACCCAGCACACACACTTTTTGCCCCGCTCCCCTCAGGAAGAAGGTTGAGAAGCATTAAGTGCAGAACCACTAGACTGAGGAACAGCTTCTACCCTGAGGCTGTTAGACTCATGAATCTCTAACCAGAATAATCACTGTGAAAACAACTGAAAAATCACTGTAATGCCACTTGATTGTTGATATGTGCTGCTGACTATCCATGAAGCTGATCTCATACTGCTGATTATTTCATGTTGCTGTGTTCATTCGTACTCATCTGCTCACACACACTCATGTTCGTGCTGCTGTTGTTTTGGCGCATTGTTGTGTACTACTAGTGCTTAGTATATTCTTAGTTTAGCGTATTTCTTAGTTCATATCTTAAGATCTTATTACTGTTTTTCTTTAAAATTTGTATTCTTGTTGGATGTAACTGGGACCCTGTGTACATAGTTTCATTCCGCCTCATGTACCACATGCGATGTGAATGACAATAAAGAGACCTTGACACTTTTAACCAAACAGTACAACTACTTTTTTTTTCTGAGTTGCAAGCTTTTTCTAAATAAAGAGTTTTTCTGATATTCACAATGTTCTAGAGGAATGTAGTTATGAATATCCTGATGCATTCTCAATAATCCAGGTGGATGAATAATATTCATACTGAAGAAGTCTTTTGGATAAAAGACAAAACATTTTCACAAGAATTCGTCCAGGACCTGACTTAACCTTGTTAGAGTAGTTTTGAATGTTTGCACATTGTTTGCACAGTGGGAAAAATGATGCTGTGTCTGAAGAAGATCAACATTTAGGATATAAAATTAAACTGGCAATATGTTTTTTTTTTTTTTTTTACATCTATTTCGCAACATTCTTTTAGGTAATATTGTACTTTTGATGATTGTACAGCACCGTGGTCACCGTATCAAGTGATTGTTTTAAATGCAGTTTATTTGAATTATGATTTAATTGCTGAAATGTTGATGGGAATGAAAGTATTTTATAATATACGAAATGTTCTTTCAACTGAGCTGAACTATGAATATCTACAGTATTTGTGAAAACAGCCAATTAACCTATGTCTTTGGGATTTTTTTTTTTTTTTAGATTTCGCATCTTTCTTTTCCTGATACATCTCTGTTGTGAAGACATAGAATAGAATAGAAACAGCCTTTATTGTCCCACGGATGGGAAATATCCAACAACGTTCAGTCAGGTCACCTGGACAGTTCCTTTTTTTGGTGAGAGACTTTTCGCCCTCCATCCGAATGACTTCATCAATCTGAGAAGTCACATACAAACTGTTTTCCCCTTCGGGTGGAGGGCGAAACATCTCTCAACAAAAAACAAAAAAGGAACTGTCCAGATGACCTGAATGAACATTGTTGGATTTCTTGATATTTTGACATATAATTTTACCAGTACAACTATTACATTTTATACCTTTAATTCACAGGTTCCCAAAGTTTTTAAGCGTATAAGCCCTAACATAATGTCAGATTTGTTGTAATATTGTTTTGTAGAACTTCACAACTCCAAAAAATAAGTAGATATGATGAATTAATTAGGCACATAGTACTTGTTTTATACATTTATGGCTATTTTTGTTAATTTTTTGGTAACAATAATGGTGTAACTAGGAATGATTAATTTATTTGATTTCTGGAAAAAAATCCCCAACGACCCCAGCTTTTAGAGCAAATGCTTTAATTTTAAACTTATCAAATCAGAGTGTCTTTTGATTAGAATGAATGCTAACTAATAAAATACTTATACTTTACATTATACTTAATACTTTACTCCAGGTCTCTTGTAAATGATTTCCCGGGGCTCAATGGGATTAACCTGTATAAATAAAGGTTGAATGAATGACAATTTATCCATAACGGCGTGGTTTCAATATATGATAAAACGTCCTGCCATACTCGGACATTTTTTCTCCTAGAAATCCTAAAATACTTTTCCATCCTCGTTCGTGTCACTACGGGGTGAGGACGACTACACGTTAAAAACGGTAGCCCGCACCCCCTGCCCCCCCCGAAATGAAAACTGCCTGCATGTGAGCTTGCACGTAGCATTGAGGCCCAAGACTTTCAGAAATCCAGCCCCAACCCATCACAACAGCCAACAGCGCACCGAAACATCACAAGATAGGAGGAACCACCGGAGGCTTCTCACCGTTAACTTCGTCACCGAGTCCGCCAGGAGTAGAGCTCCGAAAACCGCCGCGGGAACTCCTCTGCTGCCGCCAGGACGCCCGGCTCGAGGTAAATAAGTCCCTAACGAGTCAAATAAGATGCAGAACAGTGAGTCGATATGCGTATTTAAGCTACTTGTAGGCAGTTCTAGCTAAAAGCAACTTTAGCATTTTCCCGCCGTTGCTAGCTGCTAAAATGGCGTAAATGAGTTCTAAACGGAGAATAAGGCAAAAAGAATCGAGCCCGCTTCTGTTTGCGCTGCTGCTGGCGTTCCTGCGGGACGCAGCGTGGGATGCTGCTGCTGCCTTCGTCCTGCGCTGTTTTTTTTTTTTAATTTAACACGACGTTTTCACTTCATGGAACAGATCTGCTAACATGTATGTAGTGAGAGCTGCGGTGGAGTTGGTTTTCAGGTGTTTTTCACGGGACTGGGCAGTTAAATCAGACGCCATGACTGTGTGCAGCTTCTTCTTGAGTCCTCTGAGGAGGGGCGAAGACGTGGCAGTCCTTTCCTTTCCATCCACATCCTTCTCTTTATTTAACCCGAGGGCAGCAGGGGGGTGGGGGTGGGGGGTGGGGGGTTACACTTCACTAATAGATTCTCAACGCAAAAAATTTTGTTTAGAAAGTGGTTATTATAAGTTAAAGAAACACATGATGAAGGTTCAGATAGTTTTAGGACTATGTCTGCCATCTGTTAAACCAATTTTAAGTCACAGCTTGGTTGATATTTCATAATGTTGAAGTATGAAATGTATTTAAATGTGGAGAAACATTTTATACATTAATACATGTAGGGAAAGATGTAATCAATTATTATTTTTTTTGCAGATTAGACAATCAGTTGTGAAAAGATGTCAAATCCTTTGGATAAAAAGAGACATAAAAAAATGTTTATATGTTCATTAGAAGAATGTAAAATAATTTATTAAACTTTTGATTTCTTATCCATCAGTCTGAGTCAAGTTGCAGTTGCCTCCACTTTAATCCCTGCAACTATTGGTCCGTAAACTTAATTCATATTTTACTTTAATTTATTTAAAGTAAAAAGTTGCTGGAAACTTGAGCTAAAAATCATGTTTTATTTGCAACTCAAAATACAACATCTGACAAAATAAGACATTCTTACAGAATTTTTTCTTTCGTTTTTGAGTAGCTATTGTCCACATTTAAAAATAAAAATCAAATGTCCATAACAGCCACACAGACAAACCTGCTCAATTTCATTTGCTTTATATAATAATCAGCAACCAGTTTCATAAAACAGTCACAGATAGTGCAACAGAGCTGCAAGGTTTAGTATTTCAAAATGATGCAAGTGACTTTTAGATGAACAAAAAGTGAAAGAAATGAATCCTCAGAGGTTAGCCTCTCAGTTTTTGATCATCCTAATCACTGAAGCGTTGTGATGTAGGATTTTATTTGACTAAAGTTAAATTGAGGCTGAGCAAAAACGCTTACACGCTATAATAATTTCAGTCAGTTTTTAATATAAGATGTTTCCAAAGTCCTTCATAGATTTCTGCCAGATGAAGAATGATATGGTTTAAGGATCACGAGGAATATGTGGATATCTTCTGGTCATCCACAGCCTCATCAGTGTAGAAATCAGATGTTAAGTTTTACTCTCCTGTGTGGTATATATAACTCATGAATAGAAAGTATAACTTGAATATTCAGCTTTAACCCTGACGTTAAGTTTATACAACTTTGTTTTAGGACACACATGAACTCACCCTGTCATTACAGTGATTACAATAATTACATTTCCTGAGTTTTTATCCTTTTATGGTACTTTTGTCTGAATTATACTTTATATTCTAGGTTAGATTACCGTATTTTATGCCGTACCTGTCGCACCACCCTATGAGTCGCATCAGTCCAAATATGTCTAATAAAGTGGAAAAAAACATAAATATGTCGCTTCGCCATATACGTTGCATCTATTATGCGTCACCGCTGACGCGTCGTGTTTGTTACGTGTCACTGCAGACAACTTGAAAATGTGGGCCGGTGTTGTGCCAAAAATCGATAGGCTGCCAAATGGTGGCCGCGGGTTTGTGCACGGGAGGACTTTAACAAGAATTTAACTAGATTAACACTAAAAAAAACATTTATTTGTTTGCTTGAAATAATGGTAAAGGTGTGTCTCAGTCTAACTTTTGCTTAATAAATTCACTTTGACGATAAAATCATCTGCATTTTCAAAAGCCGATACGTGTGAACATGAACGCGCAGAGGTCGACTCGGTCCATTTCTTTGAAATTTAACAAGATAACCACCTAAAAACAATTATTTGTTTGCTCGACTTTATAGTAAAGGTGTGTCTCAGTCTAACTTTTACTTAATAAATGTATTTGGACGGTTAAATCAGCTGTACTTCGCCAGGGCGACACAGCAGAATGAAGCTGATTCGGTTGCTCCAGGCAGACGACGGTGGCAGGCTGTGGCAAGCCGACGTGTCATTATTAGCCACTTTTACCTATTACATGACACAACGGCATGCCATACTACTCGAGTGCCATCTAGTGGCTGAAAATTGCAGTGTTAAATTTTTTTACAGTCTGAATGAATAAAAACATTCATATCTGCCAAAATTTGTTTTATAAATATGGGAAAAAATATATGCAAAATATGTCACTTCAGCCTATAAGTCACAGGGCATGCAAATTATGCACCCCCCCCCCCAACCCTGCAACTTATACAGCGAAAAATATGATAATATTTTTTTTTTACACTTATTGTCATTTTATACAGTTTTATTTCAACATGAGGTGCTTAGATGCATATATCTCACTCAGCAGCACAATCTTGACCTGAAACTTATATTAAAAAAGAAATCTCCACTTTAGGTTATTTGATGGGCAAAGACAGAACTTGCCTAAACCTGCATCCAGTTTAAAGCTTAACAGAACTGCACAAATTAGGATTCAGTTTTAGTTCTGCAAACACGATTAAAACTCTGTTTAAAAAGTGATGCAATGAGCTCAAGAGCAGACCGCTGATTCAGAAGTGGAGTGGTTCAGTTGTGGACATTTGGGTGAACATTAAATAAGTGCACAAGCTCTGAATATCATGTAAATACTGACTGCAGTCATTATTTACAGACTGCAGACTTGCATACCTGTGAATGTTGAGTTTCTTCTTGATAATCTTGTTTAGGTTATCTTCCAAACTGCTTTGCATTTGGAGGAAATGGTCAAAATCTTTTTTTAGGATTTAGACCCAATCCAAAGCCAGAGCTAAAGCAGACAGACACTAACCACAGACTTGTATCTGGCTTTGTGTGGTCATGAGACTAGTTCTTATGGAAAAAGGAAATACTTCTACTTTTTTTAGTGACAGGCTCATCTTTTGCTTAAGAATTTGCTTCCTTTCTTTTCTTAAATTGAAACCTCTGGCTTTTTACCAGTCGGATCAATCTTACTGCATACAACATTTCTTTTTTCCTCTACATTTTGTTCATGAAATAGTTTATAGTTTGAATTTCACAGTGTTGAAGATTAAATCTAAGTCCCTGTAGGAAAAAATACTGCTGCAACTGCTCATCTCACAGTTAAAGACAAATAGAAATAGAAAATGTTAGATGAATGAAGTGCAGATGAGTGACTTTGAGTCAAGATATTAGATGTCTAAAACTTTTCTAATGATTTGTCTCACTTGTTTTTCAGGATGGAGCTAACACGTTGTTGCTTATTGCTGCTGATCTGCCTGCCGTCGCTCTCAGCCCACAATGACTTCTTCACCTCCATAGGTAAAGTCATACATCTACTGTCAAACTGACCCAACAATTACCAGTATCTTTTTAAACCCTAATACAGTAGTCCTTTATTTATTTCAGGTGTTAGGTTCAACACCCACCCCCCATTTAATTTAGTATTCATATATACTGTAAGGCTAGAAACCCTTCCCACTCTAGCAACGTTTTAAATTCTTAAACCTACATCATTTTAACAACATGCATACAGTACTGTATATGTAGCTACTAAATTTTACTTACTAGCTCTGCAGAACAGGAGCAGCTCTCGTTCAGGTCCCACTCTGTTCTGGTCCAACTCGGTTCCGTTTCTGCAGATCTACTTTGCAGCAATGAAGCCCACAGTCAGTGTTCTAAACTCTTAAACCTATACATTTTAACAACATATGTATATGTACAGTAGCTTCAAAATTTTACTTACCAGCGCATCCCCGCTCGGAGGTTCTTGTCGGCCAGTTGAAAGAGGTGAAAATGTGCCGGTGGGCTCTGGATGGACTGCCGGAACTTCGGAGCGTGTCCCCGCTTGGAGGTCCACGTGGGCGGGCTACCAGCCCTCAAGATTCACCGATGGGTCTGGAGTTCTGGTCTGGTTCTGTGCGGCTCTCTGCAGCCGCTGTGCACCAAAGTCACTGTAATAAGCGACAATTTTTTTCCAATCGGATCAAAACTTTCCCTCTAGTTTTTGAGCAGAAGGAAACGGGGCTTCTGAGCTGGGCACTGTTGGTTTCTGGGAAATGTAGTCGTTATGAGCAGGAATACAGTGGAGGCTTATTGAGAGAAAACTACAAAATGACAGCGCCCGTCCGAAGTATTTCATTTTTTCATTAACTTTTTACTGCACAGTACTGTATCCTGTACTGTCCCAATCACGTGAGTAATATTAAAGTTGACAATCACGTGTCCTGTACAATATTATGTACTGTACGTTCACAAACCGTGATAGAACGAGTCCTGCAAAAGTTGAACCGAGAAGTAGTGAGGGACTGCTGTAAAGGCAATAAAGCAAAGTCATGACACCTCCAGATAACAAAACAAAAAATAGAACAATTCTTTGTGTCGTTGTAATGTTACAGTTTATTTATTTATTTATTTATTTTATTTGTGCTTCTCAGGCCATATGACAGATCTGTTGTACACAGAAAAAGACCTTGTCACATCTCTGAAAGACTACATCAGGGCAGAGGAGAACAAACTGGAGCGGGTCAAACGGTGAGTTATCAACTTGAAGTTACACACAGTCCGTATAAAAAGTCAAAACAAATATCTTCCAACATTTACAGCACAGCTTCTGTATAAGTCTGTGTGTTGTCTATGAAATGCAGATTCTTAACATCTTAAAGAATATAAATATTTAAAGAATAAATGTAAAATAAACGCTTGAACAGACATTACAACGTTTGAGATTTTTGTTTATGTTGATCAAATGAAAGCATGTCTCAACAGTACATAACCATACACAACTCTGACTCTGACACATCGTGTATATAGAGTAAAATCAGTGATAGTTTGATACGAACCCGTGGAGCTTGTTTAGTATGAATACAAATGATGCCGTAGATAACCTGTCACGATAACAAATTCTGCTGGACGATTGTCTCAGAAATTATTGCGATAAACGATATTGTTTGAAATTTGACAATAATTATTAATTATTATCCAATCTAAGAAGAAATGTTTAATTTGTTTTGCATGTAGTACCTTTTTTTTCGACCACTAGATGGCAGTATAAGACTGTTTGAATCGAAGGATGGATAGTGAGGGAGCGAGCAGTGTCTCTTTAAGAAAAATGGGAGGAAAGCCTCTTGATGTGACATGGACTGTCTTTCTTTGGTTCTCAAAATGGCAGACGCTCACTGTGGTTTGAGCTCTTCAGCATAGCATTTTTCACACAAAGTTTTTAATAAAAAAATCAGTAAACAATTTATCAGCTTCTTTTTGCAGAGAAAAACTTTTTACACAAAGGCTCTGGTTTCAACTGTGAATTTTGGAGTTTCAACAAGACGGAGGTTTTTTCCTGAGGTCAGCCTGTTAGCTTAGCTTGTAGCTTAGCTTCTCAACTTAGCTGCTTTTAACGATGCAAAAACTCGATTTTGAACAGTTAAAATGGATTTTAAAGAGAAAGGGAGGGTCCAATGAAGAGCACCGGAGTTTAGCTTTATGTCATCCAGTGTCTTCATTAGAAAGAGAGAGACGAAGAAACGATAAAGCCGACAAATGAAAATGAGGTTGATAATTTTCATTTATCATGCGAATAATTGATTTATTGTTTATCATGACAGGCCTAGCCATAGAGCAAATAGAACTCTCACAACTAATATATACACTTAGAATAATTTCACACTGCTTGTGTAGAAACTACAGTGGGTTGCCTTAAAATAAACTCTCAGGAAGGTCAGAGTTAATTAAATTTGGGATAAAACTGAACTTAGTTTTTAGAGGAATAAATGCTTAGACAGTTGTAACATTTACATTTGCTGCTTGTTTTTCTACAAGAGATGATGTTTTTACTTTCTTGACAACATTGCATTTTGATACAATGATTTAAGAACAAATCGATAAGAAAAGATCAATTTTAAGCATAACCAGTACATGAAACTTTATTGTTTTTGTGGTAGATGGGCTGACAAGTTGGACTCCTTGACAGCAACAGCCACTCAGGATCCTGAAGGTTTCCTGGGCCACCCTGTTAATGCCTTCAAACTGATGAAGAGGCTGAACACAGAGTGGGGAGACCTGGAGAGTCTTGTACTCAGTGACACCACTGATGGTATGCACAAGGAAGACGTGTTTTTAAACTCAAACAGTTTTAGGTCAAAGCTGCTACATTTTTAGTTTTACATAAAGTTCCTTCAGTCATGTCTAGTTTTCCACAGCTACATTTCTCACATTGAAAATTAAAGTCAAGCGATATTGTTGTTTGACCCCTGCAGAATACTTCATCTGTCCTGTTGTTTGCGTTTTTTACAGGATTTATTTCCAACCTGACCATCCAGAGGCAGTACTTCCCCACAGAGGAGGACCAAACGGGGGCTGCCAAAGCTCTTCTCCGGTTACAGGACACTTATAAACTGGATGCCAACACTATTTCCACAGGAAATCTACCTGGTAAAGCTCTCAAATCAGTGCATTGTCACAATATTCCTGAAACAAAGTTTAAAAAGTCTACTTTTATTTGGTGAACTTGTCCTCCTTATCTCTTTTGGTGCAAAAATCAAAACCTTTGGAGAGATGACTTCGTGTAGAAGGTTATTCTAATGTTGCTGTCCTGTTTTTGAATACCAGGAGTGAAACACAAGAGCCATATGACAGTGGAGGACTGTTACGAGCTGGGTAAAATTGCCTACTCAGATGTTGATTACTATCACACTGAGCTGTGGATGGCCCAGGCCCTGAAACAACTCGATGAGGGAGAGGAGTCCACTATAGACAAAGTGACGGTGCTGGACTATCTGAGCTATTCCATCTACCAGCAGGGGGAGATAGAGCGAGCGCTGGAATACACCATGAGGCTGCTGGAACTGGGTGAGCTCCCTCCTGCAGTTTGTGATGAGAATAAACTGCGTAATTTGATACATCGCACATTTTGGGTTTATTTTAGATGTTTTTTAATTTTTATTAATGTATTTATGTTATTTTCATCTGTAGATCCAGATCACCAGCGTGCCAAAGGCAACGTGAAGTACTTTGAGTACCAGCTGGAGAAGCAGAAGAAGTCAGCAGAAGAAGAGACTGAGAAGCAAAAGGAGAGAGGGAAAAGGGAAACGCCAGAAAAGAAGAAGAAGAAGAAAAAGCTGTCCAAACAGACCTTCTCCCTGATCCCAGAGAGGAAGAAGTACGAGATGCTTTGTCGTGGGGAAGGTGTCAGAATGGTGAGGAAGCAACACAAAACACAAGCTGACATCTGAGCTGCCTCTCACCTCTAACTCTTTACTCTGTTTTTCTCTTTCAGACGCCACGCAGACAGAGCAGGCTGTTCTGCCGTTACTATGACAACAACCGCAACCCCAGACTCGTGCTGGCACCGATCAAACAGCAAGACGAATGGGACCGTCCCTACATTGTTCGCTACATCGACATCATCTCAGACACTGAAATTGAGAAAGTCAAGGAGCTGGCTAAACCTCGAGTAAGTAAATCTGAGCAGAGGAGCGTAACCGTAGTGAGATTTTTATTATGTGGTTCAGCATGTCAAGGGGTGGGAGGTCAATGCTGTGAGGCTGGTTGATGTTTAGGGAAGCGCGCAGACATGCACATATGAGCGTGTGCATGTATGTATGCGTGTGGGTAAATGATGTCCCTGGTCTCACAGCTACGCAGGGCAACCATCTCCAACCCCGTCACTGGAGTGCTGGAAACAGCTTCGTACAGGATCAGCAAAAGGTAAGACAGAGCCAGTGGCTGATTGGGTATTGAGGAGAGAGCTGTGAGGGAGAACGTGGGAATCCTTTCCCTCCTTTTCTCCTCAGTAACTCATCCGTTTCTCTTCTGTACTCCTGTCTGTAGATGGCTCCATCTCTCTGCCCTTCCACAGATTTAAGACTCATGAGCTGAAGCACAAGATCCAACTGAGAATGAATCATTATTGTTAAACAGAGCGAGCTTAATGCATCTGTTTTATCTTGCTGTGGTTTATGCAAATGATTTGAGTGTGGAAAATATTCAGTTTGGATTGGTGATGCACAATATTGGATTTTTGGCCAATATGCCGATATGTTAAAACTTATTTGACCGATATAGATACCAATACTGATATTTTTTATACATGTCCCTTTGTCAGAACATAGCCCTCTTATTTAGGTTTATTTGCTACAAAAATTGTGCAACAACTGTAAGTGCTGGTGACATATTAAGTAACAGCCATATGCATAGCACTTTAACTTCTATTAATTGAAAAGTGTTAAATGTTATTTATTAGCATTAGTCACCTGCAATACTGTCACTTGTGGACGCTTGTTCCAGGTTCCTAGCTGCAGTGTGGGATCCTCTGCACTCCTGTGCATGAAGGACATACTTTTTAAGTTCAAAGTCTTTGTCTATCTATTGTGCTGTAAGACTAATCATGCTAACGGGGCTAACACTTGACGTCCAAATGTCTGTGGTAAAACTCACCTAAGTGCTATCGACTATTAGCTTCTCAATGATGTTGGAAATGACGGCTTGTAACTTGGGTAAGGCTACGCTGGAAAAATATCTCTGACTGGGGACGATGTAGCGAGGCTCAACATAGTCCAAAAATCTTGGGAATCCGACATCCTAAATGAAAAAAAAAGATACACATCGTCGACATTTTGAATTTTCCTCTCTGCCGTGGTCAGATCAGGTAGGCGCGTGTGACGTCATCACGCTGTGCTGGTGCTGCAGGCATCTTTGCCACTGGGTTGTCATAAAAACAGCATCTTTTATATCGGTGAGTTATTTTGATGGAATGGCCGATGTCCGATATTTAACTTTAACATCAATATCGGCCGATACCATGCTGATAATATCGTGCATCTCTAGTTTGGATGACAGTATTGTGTTAGTGATCACTTTATGGACTTGTTTCTGCTCAGGAGTCTGCAACACAAAAAGATGGAGGAGGGGGAAATGTGCAGATTTGTGTGCTAGTTAATATTAACATTGTTTCTTTCTGAATCTGAAGACGTATATGAGGCAGTCAGTAGAAACCTAAAAATGATTAATTTTGGATTCCAGCATTGCCTCATGGAAGTCTTTGGTTCTTCTTAGGAATAATATTTACAACTAGTGATCCCATCTGCTTTTATTTTATTTTCTCTCCCTCCCTTATTTTATTCCACCTCTCCTTTGTGTGTCATGTTTTTGTGTGTCTTTTTTTTCCCTCCTATTTTCCTCTTCCACCTTGTCCTCATGCCTCCTGGCACTACTGTAGTTAAGGCGAGCCACGGTGCATGACCCCCAAACTGGGAAACTTACCACAGCCCAATACAGAGTCTCCAAGAGGTAAGGGGTCACAGGTCACTGAATTTATCCTAATCTGTGTGAACTGACTGGAGAGCTTATATGAGCATGAAAACATGATTTAAAAAATTTAAATCTGTAGCGACAACTTGTTATCCAACAACAGGAGGTTTAAATTTATTATAGATGACGAACAGTTGATGATTAAACCTCTATTGGTGGGTTTGTTGTGGAAAATTGGATATTTTCATGGAACTTCAACAAAACACTTTACTTCCACCCATTTCCCTACATTATCTTGTTTTAACTTTTTAGCAAAATAAAGAAAATAACTCCCAAGGACTTAAACTGAACGCATATTTTTAAAAAGTTCAGTACAGATCTGTTTTGCCTCCTTGCTAAGCAACTAATACACTTAAAAAAACTTTGTTAAATTTTACTCTCAATGTTAAAATAGGCTCTGCAGCCCCCCCAGTGTCGCTTTGGTTTTTCTGCACTGGATAATTAATGTGTGTGTGGTTGTAAGGGTGTGGTGCCCCTTTGATGGTTTTGTATGCTTACGTGCTAGCCAGCACGTCTTTTTTTTTTTTTTTTTTTTTTTTTTCCCAGTTTAATGAATGTTAGTGTCAGATTTGTCCACTGGCTCATGTCTGACCCAGCAGCGTTTCATAAACAAGTTATACATTTTTATCTTCTCACACACACAGATGCTTCTTGTTCTTGAAGTGGGGCTGCAGAGACCCACACAGTTGCTGTAAAAAAACGATTTGAATGTAAACCATGTTGGAAACTATTCTCTTTGTCTCATGTTACAGCAGCTGCTTTATTGTGGGATTTTCTATTGGCGCTTCAGCTAAAGAAATGAGTAATATAAACACGATGCACTCTGTAGAAATGAGCCTTAAACTGGAGTGTGGAAGTAAAACAAAAAGTTGTGTTAAATTCATGAAAATATTTGGTCTACGTCCTCTTACCAAACTTCTGCACATGTTCACAATCCTGTACCCTGAGCTGACTGGAGAATCTGAACCTCAAATCTTTGTTCCCTCCCAATTCTCTTTTAGCATTTTATATAAAAAACTGAACTTCTCTTTTGGAGCTTTGTCTCCTGCATGGCATGACTTTCTTATCAGAACAAAGCTTTACTGCCATCTAGTGGTCATTTGTGTTAAGATATTTATGAAATGTTCTCAGTTGCTCAGCTTCTGTTTGCTTATTTCAGTGCTTGGCTCACTGGCTATGAAGATCCAATAATTGAAAAGATCAACCAGAGGATTGAGGATATCACAGGCTTGGAAGTGGACACAGCAGAGGAGCTGCAGGTAAAGAGTTCATATGAAAGTTGAGGAGAAGAACAACTGATTTGTTCCTTCTAATCCTCATTTTGAATGTCTTGAGGATGAGTTCTGCATTTGTGAGATTGTATTTTAATTTGTCTTTGACTATGCAGGTGGCAAATTATGGTGTTGGAGGACAGTACGAACCTCACTTTGACTTCGGAAGGGTACGCCGACTGACGTCAATTACTGTGAATAAATAGCAGAATGTGTATGACGGAACATTACACCTGATGTTGGTTATTTCTGCAGAAAGATGAGCCAGATGCCTTTAAAGAACTTGGCACGGGGAATCGCATTGCAACGTGGCTTTTTTATGTGAGTAAATTCTTCCTAAACACATCTAATGCATGTATAGATTAAGTTAACCAGTGGCCAACTGGTGGGGAAGCTTGGGAAAAGGGTTGTGTTCAAAGAAGATGGTAAATTAAAAAAAAAATCACAGCAAAGTTCAAGAAAAATTAAGTTTCTCTTGATACTTAAAAGATAATTATCTTGTATTGTATGTGAAAGTTTAAAATGGAAATTTAGTAGGGTCTGTTAGTGCTTGAAGCATGTTATAGAGATGACTCTCAGCTACTTCCACACCTAAATTTAGCTCAATATCTGTAAAACTGATAGATTTGCTGCCATTTTTTGTGATTAGGTTGATTAATTTTGGCAGCAGTAGTCCTCTGATTATGTAAGATCACATTTCCTGGAACTAAAATAAAAACAAATTTAATCTGAGACAGTTTTACCATCACTCCTTTGTCAGTTTATCTTTTCAGTTTTTTACTGAACATAAAAACTATTTAAAGCCACGTGGCTCCGGCCGGTCCTCGAGTCACTCAGCAGGACGTGCAGTGAGATGTGGGCCACATAACGTTTTGCCTCTCTGTTGTAGATGAGCGATGTCACTGCAGGTGGAGCCACAGTATTCCCTGATGTAGGGGCAGCAGTTGTGCCTAAAAAGGTAACTCCACAAAAAACACTCATTACTTCTCTAATTCATTCATCAGATTTCTCTTAAGTTCCCAATCGTTAATTTCACGTCACACATGAAGTTTCTCATATTCCCTCTTACATGAATAACGGCTCAAATACTGGTTGATAATCTTTAAATTTTTCCGAGATGACTGAGAAGAAATGTAAAGAATCATGTGACAGATTTATGAAGGGTTTGCTCATCTGTTTGTTTCAGAGCACTGCTGTGTTCTGGTACAATCTGTTCGCGAGCGGAGAAGGAGACTATAGCACCCGACACGCAGCCTGCCCTGTGCTGGTGGGCAACAAGTGGGGTGAGTTTCCCTTTCGCTTGTTGTGTGAACACTCATGAAGCAGTCACAATATTGTGATCCATTTTTCTTCCATACGTTTTTCATCATCTTTCTCATTCCACAATGTTTGTGCTATTTCCACGACTTGTATATCAAAATTTTCAGTTTGTTCAGAACAATCCTGCTATGACTTTTGTTATTGGTGCAACTTTAGCTTTTTGAAATATTTAGCCTTTTCTGCAATTTTTATTTTCTATTGAAAATGAATTGAGCTCATTTTACATCATACTTTTAGATCCGTTTACAACCTTTTACTGTTCCCGTCACATTGTGTTCTGCTTCAGTTTATTTCAGCTTCCTTGTGCAAATTTAAACATTTTTCTGCAAATTTCAGCTGTTTTGTACTTCTACTAATTTCTTTCTGCAAATTTTTTTAGCTCGTCATGCTCCTTTTAGTTTATTTCTGCAAGATTCAGCTTTTCTATTATTTCATTTACAGTAGTCCCTCGCTACTTCGCGGTTCGTTTATCGCAGACTCGCTTTATCGCGGTTTTTCAAAATAAGATTGGACATGACACACAATTTGCTGATGGATGGTTGAGCCGCATGATTGGCGTGGAATTTTTATCCATCCATTATCTTTACCCGCTTATTCCATTTTGGGTCACGGGGGTCGCTGGTGCCCATGTCCAGCAATCACTGTGCGAGGGGCGGGGTACACCCTGGACGGGTCGCAAGTCCATCACAGGGACACATAGAGACAAACGAGACAAACAACCATTCACTTTCTCACTCACACCTAGGGACAATTTAGAGTTTCCAATCAGCCTAACATGCATGTTTTTGGTCTGGGGGAGGAAACCGGAGCACTCGGAGAAAACCCACGTATGCACGGAGAGAACATGCAAACTCCACCCAGAAAGGCCCCTGGACCGGGATTTGAACCAGGGACCTGCTCGCTGAGAGGCAGCAGCTCTACCAGTTGCGCCACCGTGCTGCCCCATGGAATTTTTATTTAAAATAAATTGTTTTAAATTATTTAGCACCTCCTGCACCTTTGTGCAGCCCATACTGCAGGATAAACTTCCTGCTGCAGCTGATCAGCTGTTCTCCGTGCAGAGTGGAGAAGTGGGCGTGGCCAAGAGCACTTGCAGGTAGCAAAGAGCAGAGGAGGCAGAGAGCTGAAATCATGACATTCTGTGCTCTTTTAGAGCGTGTAGAGTTTAGAAACATTGTTTAGAATGTTGCAAGTGTGTGGGAAGGGTTTAAAATCTTAAAATATATATATATATATATATATATATATATATATGTATATAATAAAAATAAACTACTACTTACTACTTGTACTACTATACTACACGGTTTTTCACATAACGCGGGGCCTCAGGGTATGTATACCCCGTGATAAACGAGAGACTACTGTATATGTATTTATGCTAATTTAAACTTTTTGCAAATACCAAAAAATGTCAATGCTCAATAATCCAGGTATACAATCCAACAATTTTCAGTCAGGTCATCTGGACAGTTTGTTTTTTTGCTGAAACGTTTCCCCTTCCATCCAGAAGGCTTCATCAGTCAAGGAAACACACAACACAAAACTGATTCTTCCCTCAAACAACTTACTCCAAAGTGGAACAAACCAGTTAAGTTGTAAACGTTTCAGCAAAAACAGAAACTGTCCAGATGACCGACTGAAAATTGTTGGCTTTTTTCAAATAGTTTCTAATGTTTTGGGCTCATTTTTGCTTCTTTCAACCTAAATGAGCAAACGGGTTCTTTCTGCTTTCCTATTGTAATTTAAGCTTGTTCTACCTTTGCAGCTAGCTTGTTAGCTAATTTTAGCAGTTTTCAGCTAAATTCAAGTTTTTCATGGTAGTATCTGCTACTTTCAGCCTAATTAACTTTCTTCTGCTGATTTCAGCTTATGTTCTTTTCAAATTTTTTTTCTGCTAGTTTCAGCTCTTTCTGCGATTTCAGATACTATTTAGCTGTTTTTGTGCTAAATTTAGCTTTTTCCACATTTTTATTATTTTTTTTAGCTTATTTCAGTTCCTTCCACTTCCTTCTGGTAATTTAAGCTTCTTTCTGCCTTTTCAGCTGCTTTTCACCTGCCGGTATTTGTTACCAATTTCAGCTTTTTGAGCTTATTTACAATTTTTTGTGTTTTATTTCTGCTTATTCAAACCAGCAAAATCTTGTTCTTTCTGCTTTCTTGTTTGGTCTGTTTACTTAAAGACACCCTGAATGTGTTGCTTCATGCTACCAGCTGCTCGTGTTTATATGCAACAGAGAATGTAAACGTGCGTTTTGTATTACCAGTAAAGCAAGAACTTAAATCATTTTGCTTCTTTTGCTTTTAGTGTCAAACAAGTGGATCCACGAACGAGGCCAGGAGTGGCGGCGACCATGTGGCCTGAATGAAACTGAATGACGTTAAAAATTAATGATTTTCAACAAATACCTTCCTCCTCCTCCTTTTTTTCTGTTAACGGCCCAAAGCTCCCTGCAACAGATCACAGATGACACATGGTGTCCACACGCATCACTCCCTTTCCTGCAAACACTCAGCTCTTCTCCCCCACCTGCTCGTCTCTGAGCCGAGAGGTTGTTTTGGTTCGTGTCGAGCCCCTGGCCAGCGTCAACATCGCTGTGACAGATATGTTCTTAAAGTTGTTGGATGGTTTAGAGAAATACTAAAGCTTTGTCCACTCCCGTGAGCCTTTTGTTTGCACTCGGCTGTGCGGTGAGATTATCCTTCAGTTGGGACTGCTTCCCCCTCTTTATGGTAAACTGTAAAGGGGACACTTTTATATTTTTAAGAGGCCGGTCTGATTTACTGCATCGTGTGATTTGTGAGCACTTGGCCCCTCTGAGGTATTTAGGGAAAATAAATGATCGATAAAATACGATAAACAATGAAGCTCACCGCAGCTGTAAAGGTGTTCAGGGCAAATGTATACGCACTTAACTTCTCAGCAGCTGTTTTCGATGTTTCAAACTGAATTCTCACTTTATGTTTTTATGAACATATGAAGGTGAATCCCGCTTAGAATAAAAAACAAAAACAAAGATGGAGCCGCATGGCTGGAAAGAAACGATGTAAAGAAGCAAAAGGGTCACACACCAAAGAAGCAGAAAATCTGAGGCAAGGTTGTGTTTTGAACGACAAAAACCATTAAGTTGCACAACTCGCAGGGAATATTCAGGACTGATTTCTACCACTTGTGCATTTTGTTGGTTTGTCTCTCATTTCACTCAACCGTTGCACCCCAATACGAACGACGACTCATACACTCCCAGCTTAATTGATTTCGATCTTGTATTTCATACATTTTAAGGCAGTATTTGTTTTTATATTTGACAAAATGTGCAAGTTTGTAAGGGTTAATGTTGGTTTTTCATAGACAGATGTGTGGGTTTTCTAATGGGAGAAATGCATCTTTATTTATATAAGCAAAGTTTGTTGTATTCTTTTAATAACAATTCTCAAATGTTTTGTTTTTTTAAAAAAATAAAATCTTTGTTGATATGAAAACAATGAAGTGTGTTGGTTTGTTTTGGGCGGTGGGAGGGTGAGGGATGGTTAATTTAGGGGAAGGTGTCACGTGACCGTCTAGTACTAATCGTGTCGTCATCGGCTCGTCTGAGGCAGCCAGGGTCGGAGTCAGTCAGGTCGGGAGGACAAGCCAGGCCAACTGAGAGGACAAAGTCAGGAAACTTCAGTGTTTAGAGAATTCGCGTTTGAGTTTCGGGAAGAGGAGGAAAAGAGCAAGATGATGACCCAAATGGAGACAACGGTGCACTATGATAACGGCTACGAGGATGAGTACATGATGCAGGAGGACGAGTGGGACAGGGACATGCTGCTGGACCCTGCCTGGGAGCAACAGCAGAGGAAAGTATGTCCGTCCACTTCATAAAACTGCTGTTTAAAATATAACTTCCACCGTTTTATAAAAAGAAATAAAGTGACTCCAATGTGTTGTCACTAAATGTTAGGTTAGAAGTGAACTTAGTTTTAAAGTGGCCAAAGTTTCCTAAAAACATCAAACTTGTAGTTAATTGCCGAGTTTTGAGCGGCGCAATTAAACAACTTTTAGAATTAAAGCTAGCTAGCACAGCAGTTAGGCTAACTTCCTGTTGAATTTTCAAAATAAAACATTTTGGAACCTCCAAAGGACGGTTAAAATTGATTACAAGTTAATTCTGTTTATAAAGGATGTTTTACATGTTTTTTTTGTTTTTGCACATGTACTATATATTTACACCTGGAAAGTTATATGACCTAAAAAGGATATTTTCTTCTGATTTGTTTGATGCAATAAAATGACAATTAACAACACAGGAAAAGACAGACTAAACAAAAAAGCATTCAGAACTAGAAAGCAAAACAACTGACTTATGACACAAAAAATCTATAGGAATAAGAAAAGTGATCAATGCTATAACCAACTAATAATACAAATTTGTCCCTAAAGTCACATAATAGTAAAACAAAACGTCAAGAATATGAGATTAAAAACAGTAAAAAAAAACCAACCTTTTTTTTCAAAAGTGACACAGGTGTATAAGTAGAAAAATACACATGCAAAACAAAAATAATTTGGTCATAAACTCACACCAAAATAAAATAAAAAAATCCTAATAGAAAATGATCAAGGGAAGTCTGAGATTGTCATCATTGTATGCTCTCATACAATGGTAAAATTAGTTATCTGCATTTAACCCATCACACCTGGGATACACCACGGTGGAGCAGTGGGCAGCTATGTAAGTGGCCGAGGAGCAAACTGGGGGTTAGGCGTCTTGCTCAGAGACGCCACGGCATGTGGGAATGGCGTTGAACCGCGACTTCTGGTCCCCAGCCGGCCGGGGACTAGAAAGCCAGTTGGATCAACCATCCATCCATCCATCCATTATCCTTACCAGTTTCTTACTTTCTGGGTCACGGGGGTCAGCAGTCACTGTGCGAGAGGTCGGACATCCTCCTCCACACACACATTAGGACATTGCCTAAGAAATGATGCTCAACAGTAAAAAAAAAATGTGTTTGTATGGTTGTGGCTTTCTTTCATGTGGTGTTTCATTTTAGTCCCACATTAAACGCCCCTCGAGTGTAGTTTTACTTTGAAGGACCGCAAAGGAAACTTCCGGTTTGCTTGTAGTTCCGTTCCTTTGACGCGGGCAGCGGGGGGTCCTGGCAGGGCATCTTGACGGACGGATGCGTTGGGTACCAGCTAACAATAGCTGTGGCCTCCAGCCTCTCGGCAGACCACTGCCTCTTCACTGATACGTGCGGAATGCGAGCTGTCAACAGATGCAGCGAACACATGATGACGCTCCTGGAAACAGAATGGACGCTGCTGCTAATTTTAACCAAGGGGACCAAAAGGCATTATAGTGAGGTTAATCCAGCGTCCTTGGTGCGGAATTCTTTTGTTTATAGAAACCTCGCAGGAATATTGTACCAGCACCAGCTCAACTCGATATAGCCTCGGCCTCCCATGCTGTCAGTTTTTTTTTTTTAGGGCTTTAAAAGTTGGCTTGGGCCTTAAACTGCAGCTCTTTGCGCTGCTGGAGGCCATCAGTGCTGTGTCCTCTGTAACCCCCTGTGGCCCCTACCAGGATGGCAGTATGTGTATTTTTAGAACACAAGGTAACAATACAAGAGCTCCCTCCTCCCCAGCTGTAACCTAGAGCTGATCTGTGTTCACCTGACAGTCATTTGTTTTGGTGAACATCTGCAAAATGAGCAGAACCGCTTGCCTCCTGAGATCCCAAATGCAATCTGCTGAATCTTGGCGTCATAGCGAGCAGCATTGCTGCTTTTGTTTGCTCAGTCGAGGCTCACTGTTTTTCATTTTGGATCATTTTTTAACGGATGTGTCACTGGCTGTGACATATGATTCAGTAAAAAACATCAAAAGTTCATGCTCAATACAGGTCATCTGGATGGTTTCTTCTTTTTTTGTTGTTGAGACAAGTCATCCTTCAGTCGAAGGATTTCATCAGTCTGAGGAGCAACAAACAAGCAGCACACTCACATATGCCCCTTTTCCACAGGTCATGCTCGGCCCTTATGGGCCCTTATTGGACTGGTACAGGTCGGATCGCTTCATTTTCCGTTTCCACAGTGCACATTAGTGCCCCTTTAGTGGGCAGATCATTATTATCAACGCACCGACAGCTCTTTAAAAACCTTCTCGTTATGTGTCGCTCCATCTAGCTCGCTCTGGACTTTTTTGTCGACCAGCAAACACAAAAACACCTGAACTTCAGCATTTAACCACGATTGTGACATTATTGTTTTGTTTATACCTTCAAAATACTCTACAAATACACTCCTCCAGATTCAAGTGGTTTCTAATGGTGAGTTTAAAAGAAAATGGCGGATCGGGTTGCGGTGGAAGTTTCTGAAACTCCAACCAGTGACTCCGCCCCCTGACCAATCAGTAACGGACAGTGCGCTGACGTCACATTTTAGGGTTCTGCTTGGCCTCAGTGGAACCGCAGAGAAGTAAATACTGAAAAAACAAGCTGGTTCCACAAAGAAGGTCCTGTGGAAAAGAACACGGAACCGGCCTGAGCAGGGTAAAGTGGGGCCAAGGAGAAACTGTGGAAATGGGGCAATAGTGGACCAACCAGTTTGCTGGCAATAAGATTGTTTCCCACCCTCTTCCCCGTTGACTCCTTTGAGGCAGCCATAGCCAAACCGGTTCAAAACACCAAAGTTCATGCTCAATAATCCAGGTAAAAAATCCGACAGTTCAGTCAGGTCGTGTGGACTGTTTCTTTTAGTTGTTGTTGTTGAGACATGAACTTGAGCATGAACTTTGATGTTTCGAACCACTTTGGCAATGGTTGCCTCAAAGGAGTCAACGGGGGAGAGGGCAGGCCCCAGAAACCATTTTATCACCATCAAACTGGTTGGCCCACTATGTGAGTGTGCTGCTTGTAGAACTGAGTTTCTTTGTGGCCTCTCAGACTGATGAAGTTCTTTGAATGAAGGATGAAACGTCTCAACACACACACACACAAAAAAAAAAAAAAACCATCCAGATGACCTGACTGAACTTTTTTGAATTTAACAACATGTTCTGCTTCAGCTGATACTGAACGTGCTATTAAAAAAACAACGCGGTGCTGAGTTGAATTTGGACAAAGCACGGGTTGTTTTAACTCAGCAGGGTTATCAGTTTGACCGGCTTAAGTTTTCTTCCCAAAAATTGGGCTAAAATGACTCATTTGTTAAATCGGAACTACTAAAAAGTTGAGTTACAAAGAACAACCTAAAACCTGTGTTATTAGATTTGTCCAACTTGGGGTTAGCTAACAATTATTAGTGTCAGCTAACATCGAGTCACACTTTTGACCAGACAGTTGATCCAACTAACTGAACTGGTGACCCAGTAGCTTTAACAGGCAACTGAGATATGACAACAACCCATCAGTTTTTAGTGTGTTTCTTCCATCAGTCTCTTACTCGGCTCAGACAGACTCATGAAGGAGATCGATGAAGTGGTGTCTATTCATGTTCCAGAGTCAGAGCCAGATCTCTGCCACACTGACAAGTCTCATACATGAAACTATCCAAATAACGACAATACGTGGTCAATCAGAAAGGAGTTTGTGGACACACTGATGAGGTTCTGGCGTTTTCGCTATGCCGAACATCCAGTTGACCGTTTTTCATCCTGTCATCGCCTGACTGGGGGGGCACACAGGCATTAGCCAGCTCCGTGCAGGGTTGGTCCTCTCTGGATGTGATTCATGAATATTTTTAGCTTTAATCGTCACCAGGCAGTGGAGTGAGGCAGGATGGAGTGTGTGTGTGTGTATGGTGGTGGTGTGGGGGATGCCAGGAAAGTGGGCAGTTGTGTTCTGCAACTATGACTGGGAGTCCAATTTGGAGGACCAGCAGGCACCTTTTTTAACAGGAGGACAGCAGTACAATGTCACATGCACCCTGGGGACTCACTCAGCGTGGAATGTGATGCCCTTCACTGTAAAGCTTGTAATATTCTGTTTTTGTACCAGCACGGGGGGGGGGGGGGGGGGGGGGGGGTGGGGGGGTGTGGGGCCCCCCCACACCCCCCACTCCGTCGGGCCATGGAAGAAAGAAAAACGAAGGAACAGGGGGCTTCCGT